TAATCTTCCTCCAATTTGCTTTTCAACTGTTCCCACTCTGATTATTTATCACATGGTGCCCCTTCTTTCCACTCTGTAGTTGAAATTATCTTCTAAAAAAAATAAAATCTGACTGTCACCTTCCTTGTTTATGACAATTAATGGTATCCTCCTGTGCTCTGAAGATAAAACAAAGTTCCTAACAAGAAAGTTCCTTACAAAGGGGCTACCTATCCTTCTCCATGCTTCCAGCTCACTTGACCCCCTTCCTTACTGCTCTCTCTCTGCTGCAATCGCAATGGACTTTTCTCAGCCCTTTGTCCTTGTCATTAGTTCTGCACAAGTGAAGTTCCTTTTGCCTGCAATTTTCTTATTTTCTCCTCATTTATTTAAACCAATTGTTCTTTCTGATCTTAGCACAACTGTAATTTCTGCAGAGATGTCTCTGTTCTTTGCCCTAAGTCTCTTCCCATATTACAAACAATAACATGCTCTTTTCTTTTCTTGTACCTATGGTTACAATTTTATATCAAATCATATGATTATTAATCAAATGAAGACTATTTTCCCTAGTTGGTCTAAAAGCTGAAACAAGGCTTTGGTCTAGATTTACTTACCCTTGAATCATCGATACAATATTGGACATTCTACAGGCCCATGTTGTGATGGAGAACGCAGTAAAGTTCCTTGAAATTTCTCTACATAAAGACATTACAAGGTCTTTATAGAGTTTCCTCCAAGACAAACTATGTAATGAATTCATCCAAAATGTAGGTATAACTAGAGATATTTCCCATAAAGGAAAAGCATTCTTCATTTCTATTGTTCTTCAGTCTTGTCTTCTTTGATTTTAGTGTGACCCAAACATAGGAGTTTTGATGATAAATGTGAATGGAACTCCTTAATAAAAATTTGTGTGCAGATTATATATTGAGAAACAATGTAATTTCTTGTCTTTGATATCATTTTCTTGCTTTTCATTACTATTAACATGGATATTGTATTATAATACCAGATAATTCAATATGCCTATGCCTTTTTTAATGTCTCTGTATTCTATTACTTTATTACTATGGATAATAGCAACTATTGCATTTCCTATAAGAAAATATTAATTTTAAAAGTTCTTATAATTTCACAGGAAATAAACATGGCAAATGGATCCTGATAGCAAATTCATCTAAACCTACAAATACTATGTTTTACTGGTGAAACTGAAGTCATGAATAAGAGGAATAAAAAAATATTTAATCCTTTATAAGACTGCTAATGTAAAATAGTGATGAGAACTCCAAGAAACTAAAGGATGGATCTCTATAAGATATATCACTTTGGAATAATTTGAGCTAAGATCAAATAAGGTCCATAAGTTTATGAGAAACTTTTACCACTCCCTCAACCATTCAATAACCTAGAAGAATAAAAATTGGGGATATTACCCAGAATTCAGATTTTTAATAGAATAGCCTTTCTACAACAGAAAACTATTTATATGGTTGGGCAAACATGTAATTACAGGTCTTCATCATAAAGTCACCCTCTCTTCATTATGTGAGTTCCCTTCCTCTCTGCTGTAGTGCCAGGTCCCTAGCCCACTTGTAAGGTCAACTATATTTTTATCCAACTATATGTTGGTCAAACAATCAAATTAATGTGAGTTTTATTAGGGAGAAAAACAAATTTAATGACATATGTATGTTAAATAAGCAGGGTTTTAGATCCTAACATCAATGGGGCTCTCTCTCTGTCCCCTAATAAAACTGACTTTAATTTGATTGTTTGACCTGCCTAAGAACCCAGAGATAGGGGGAAATATCCTCTCAAAACAAATAAGATTGCCGCTATCAGAGAGAAACTAAGACTTTACAATTGATCTATAATTGTCTTCCAAAGGCATCTCCAGCCATTGGGCCACATTCTTACAACTGAATCAGCTCAGACTGTGGCCCAGCAAACACTGCAATAAGGTAACAGTGAGAGACAAAAAGCTGACTCAGAACAGGTTTTACTGCTAAATAAGGAATTCCTCAATGAAATGCAGAATTATAAAGGGAAAGAAGTTTAAATAACTATTGTTTTCCAAGACATCATTTTAAACATGGGAAAACCAAAGTTAGCAAGGGACAAGACCTTTGTCTGAAGTCACATAGCAGCTTGCAGCCTGGCCAGGACTAAGACCCAGATCTCATAACACACAGCTCTTCCCAGTACACTGTGTTACCTGAGCTCACTCACTACAGTTGTCTAGAAAAAGCATCTGAGCAATAAAGCCTACATTCACAGGCCTCCCTGGTGCCTAGGGGTTAAGTCTCAGTGCTATCACTGCTGTGGCTTGATTTCGATTCCCAGCCAGGGAGCTAATACACACATGGTGCAGCAGACCTCTCCTGTCTCACCTGCTGCTCCCCTCAGTGGTGTATTTCAGTAAATCCGCCTGTTCTGCTCCCCACTCTGTCTCTGGTGAATCTTCTTACCCCTCATCCCATACTTCTGGCCTACACCCCAGTTTTCTATGCAAAATAAACAAAATTAAAATAAATAAATAAATGCTAAGATACCAGAGAACCCACAAACACTTTTATAGCATAAGCCAGGTTGCATTACCTGGCAACAATTAATAAGTTGCCCTCTGTTCACTTAGCATTCCTTAAATTCCTCATATGCACAAAATAAATATTAACAAAACTCCTTTCTTTAATAACAAAGCTTCTGTGTCATCACCTCTCTTTCCAGATTTAAAAACACCTGTATAGGCTTTTAGGTAACACTTTCCATTTATAAATTTCTGGCAACATTCTCTGCATAAATTTCAAGCTACTGAATCTGTAACAAATCACTCACAGAATTCCTGGTTATTTAACAATTGGTTCCAGTACACTAGCCTGAGGGAGCTCCCCAACACACCACAGCCACCCCACGGAAACCTACAAGTAATCAAACTCAACCCACTCTTAGAAAAGGAAACTGAGGCTCAAAAAGAGTAAATGATTTGCCCCAAGATCATACAGTTACTGAGACGGTATCAATAACCTTTCTATAAGTGAAACGTTATGCACCAAAATAGTCAGTGGTCTATATATTAATGTAGAGAAAATGATTTCAAGACTAGCAGCATCAACACAACCAAAACTCTATTAGAAATGCAGATTCCTGGGCTCCACCCCATACCTAGTAAATTACAATCTGTATTTCAACCAACTCTCTGAAGGGTTTAGAACAATAGGAAAACACTTGGCCTTCAAACCCACCAATAGCTTACGTTTTCATGGATGAGATTCATATAGTCATCAAAGATGAGCGGTATCCTTTTCCACACCAGCATCATAAAGCAAGACATATGATCTGAAATATCTTTCACATTTCCCAAGACTCAACTTTTTAAAATAGTTTAGATTATTCTAATAATAGGAAAAAGTTGAATTGTTTACCTTCCACTTGTCAATCTCAACATTTCGTAGACCAAAATATAAAATATTTTATATGTCATCCCTGGCACATTTCTTTTTAATGCAACTGCTTTTAAATGAGGTTTTACAAGGTTCTGTCTTACCTCTTGGACAAACATAGGCAGCCAAAAGCAACAGGTTAGCCCCATTCTAATCCACATACTATCTTGACATACTATCATACATTTGGTTTATCTGACAATTCCTGTATGTGTGTGTGTAAATAGGTAGGTAGGTAGGTAAGTAGATGACAGATAGATAGATAGACAGATAGATAGATTGATAGACAGATAGATAGATTTACCCATGATCTTAAAAATCCCAAACAAGGGCTAATAAATGCTTTTTGCTATGTTTTCCTCTTCCAATATATTTTTTAATATTTTATTTTAATTTTTTTAGATTTATTTATTTATTTATACAAGCACTGGGTACAGTCAGAAGCACGGGAGGCTGAGAGAATTCACCAGAGCCAGAGCGGGGAGCAGAGCAGGCAGAAGGACCGAAGTACACTGCTGAGGGGAATAGCGGGCGGCAGGAGAGGTCTGCTTGCCATGTGGGACCCTCCTCTGGTGGCCGGGGAGCAGCCGGGGATTGAACTGGTGCTGCAGAGGCTGCGGGCAGCTTCGCAACCCAGCACTCAACCGCTGTGCCACTGGGGAGGCCCTCCAATATTTTAAAGGTTTGAAAATTTACAAAATAAACACCCTCTCAATCTTCTTGTAAAAGTATTGCAAAAGAGAGAAAGAACAATTGAGTAATAGTTTCTCTCCATTTAAAATAACCAGCTAAGGCAAAATCAAATGACAAATAGCTTCACTGATATTACTTCGATAATAATCAGATAGTAATCTAAAAATATAGATCTATGTAAGATACTTAAATCATTATACATTATTAATTTTATATGGAGGGTAAACTTAAATATGGTTAATGTATTTGCACAGAAATAAGAGTTAATAACATAAGTGCAGCAGATAATAGAATAATGAATACATTTTGGAAGGGTATTTAATCACCACCATGTTTTCTAGCAATCACCGAACCAGTTAATGAAAACAATTGCTAACCTTGGTGGAAAAGAGCTACCTTGGAGTTGGAAATGGACATTTTCAAGGAAAGTAGAAGATTGGCTTTAAAATCTGCAATTTTCTGGTCTGAACTGAACATTTACCAGCAACTGGCTAAAAGCACTTTGCAAGCCCAGAAGTAACGATGCTGAAATTGATACTTCTGTGTTTTTGCGATTTCCCTCACAAACATCCTCTCCCTCCAAAAAAGCAGCTTTTTTCATGAGATTCATCATTGATTCCACCAGCCACACAGTTTGAGAGCCCAACTTAATGCCTCCTCATCATCTTTCCGGCCAATCCACACATGTCTGCCAGAGCTCTTGCATATTCTCAGGAACTTGTTGAGAGTCCCACAAGACATAGTAGGATTAAGATCTCAAATTTTAGTCCTATTGCTATGGTAACAGTGTTCCTCATGGAGAGACCAAGTCTTGTGTGAGACTGAGCCCATTTAGGCGAACACTTGGTTTAAAAATGGCACAGAGAGCAGAAGGGCACTTACGGTTGACACAGCTTGATTAGGTCCTGGTCAGTGGTGCCCGGTGGAAGACCTCGAATGTACAGGTTGGTTTTACTCAACTGTTCCCCGCTGCTGTTGTTGCTGCTGTTGTTGCTGCTGCTGTTTGTGCTGGGACTGGGAGGAGCCATGGGGTGGGGAGCTGGTGCATAGGACTGCTGGAAACAGAAAAGGCTGTTACTGGAAAAACAAAACCAGCACCTATTCACAGGCCAGCAGAACAACCTGAATGCAATGCAAACTCCCTGAACTTTCTAAGGCACACATGCACACATGTATTTATATGCCTTGGTACTATGCTTTACTTCTAAGAACATTTGCTCCTCCCCAAACCGCCCAGCCCTGTACTTGAATCAGCATTAAGTTAGCCATACATGGGACAAAAAGAAGTGACCAGATGTTGCTGAGAGTAGCACATGACTTGAAGTTGCCCCTGACTACAATGATTTTCCTTAGACTTGTATAGGACCATGATAGCTCTTTCCTTGAATTAAAGAAAACAGTTCACTCTTCACAATAAAGCTCTCCCCTAGCTCATCTTGATGAGTCATGGATCTTTGATTTGCTCTATTCCTTTGTCCCCTCTTATTCTCAAACAAAGCTTCCTCATATTTTTTTTCCTCACCATTACTCTCCAGCACAATTCCTGATTTATAGAAATTACCCTATCGTGATTCTATGAATGAACAAGTGAATCAATGAATCTATTTTATCTTTGCCTCCAATCCCAAACCTGCTTCTATATACTTTGTTTAAAAGACAGAGTCATCATACTCTCCCTACAGTCAGATTGCCTTAAAACTACTGTAATCCAGGGATTCAACCCAGGTACAACTGACACCTTGGTCATAAAAAAAGTCTATTTGAGGAACTTCACTGTTCATTGTAGGATGGTAGAAGCATCCTTGGTCTTCACCCACCAAATTCTAGTAGCAGCCATTCCCCAGTGGTGATGACCAAAAAATGGCTCCAAACACTGACATATGTCTCCTGGGGACAGTGGATGGGGAGATATCCCCCAAAAGAGAACACTGCTCTAATCTGTCACACTAATATGGGACAAAATGGAAATAAATGACCCAACCAACTTATAATAGGTAAGATCATGGTCTTTGTTATTATTGCCAGAAGCTGATATAGTAATTCATTATACTTTCTCTGTATACAGGTATATCTTGTGTGAAGCTCAATATTCCCACTAATATGCGGGAGTAATTTCCAAAAGTTCAGTGAGCTAATACAAACAAAATGGTTCCTGGAAACTAGTAATTGCATAATAAAATTTAGCAACAACAAAAAATGTAATAATAATCATAATGGTATGTGTGGTTCCTATCTGTCTTGCCAGTGATATTAGTCTATGTAACTCTCCCATATTTTTTTCAGCCATAATCCAGAGTGCTAGCAGGGCACAATGAACAGAGTCCAGTAAGGAAATTCAAGATTTAAAGTCTTGAACTAATACTAATGAAGACTCATTAGTTGATTTATAAGGGGCAAGAGGTGTGTACTTATGAAACAGTAACTAGGTGCTTTATTAATACTTAGGATATAGCATGAAAAATATTAATGGAGCCAATACAGAGACAAAAAACCAAGTTTTAATCAGTGACCAACTTTTATTTCCTACTATAGTAGTCTGCTTTATGCTTTCCAGAATTTCACATTTGCCCCAGTCCTAATTAGATTCAGTATGTCAAAATTTAACTCATTATATCTGCTGTCTTATACCTCAATTCCCTATACAAACCACCCATCACATTGCCCTATTTCTTTCAGGGCTACTGTCATCTTCCAGCCTCCATGTTAGAAACCTTGGTGGTAGTTTCCTCTGTCCTCTAATCCTAAATCTCAAAATAGAGTTATCACCAAAATATGAGAAGTTTCTACAATCACCACTTCCTCTGAATTCCCATCATTTCCCTAGGCCAGGATCGGAACCACCTCATTTGTGATGGACTTCAAGCTTCCTATCTGGCCTACTTTCCCTCATTCTTTGTTTGTATAGGGGGTATGGGGGGTGGGGGTGGGATGTGGAAGGGGATAACACAGGATGGTCAAACGCAAACACAAATTGGTCAAGAGTGTAAATGGCAGCTTAAGGCACAAGAAGGCTGAGAGCTCATATGACACAAACAAATCCCAGAACCTTCAACTGTCTTCTTTGAAATAAACATTTTTCTCAACTATTTCTTTAGCATTACCCAATTGAAGACCAACATTTTTTAAAAAATGATTCTAAGATGAAATAACACAGAATACTTACTATTCCCAATATTGGAATACAATAATATCCATTGCCTTTCAGAATGTAAAATTGTATAAATCTGCGTTCTAATTCTTGGTTAGTATGAAAAATTGTTCTCTTGACCTCAAAATTCTCTTTCACTTCTCAGACATCCCATAACACTTAAGCTTGACCTTTTTACAAGCCTTGCACTTACTAAGTGGTCAATACCCCTAGCTGAAGTGGTGTCCTGGTCTCTCTCACAATGGGACAGATGGGATTTATCTCTTATTTCCCTTATGTGCTTGCCTCTCTTAAATTTCCCAGGCCTTTTTAAAAGCTGTTTGCTACCACTGTCACCTCCCCTCTCTCCAAATTCTTTGAATTCCATTCTGTACTCAGCCTTCTCTTAAAATGAGGCTTTGTTTAAAGCATTTTTTTTTTTTCCTATTGCATAGCCTTTAAAGCCACTGGGGAGCCAGAAAAATGTCTCCAGCTTTATGTATCCAGATCAGATAGACCAGTTCAGAATGAGCCCTTGGCTGATCAAATAAGAAAGTACCAAATACAAGATGATCAAGACATGTTTACTTAATTCTTTTTTTTTCTCCCAGAAATCTTTGCAAGAATTTCCATAGCTGAAATACCATTTAGTAAATTGCATGGTGCCTAAAACAATAAACGTGCCCTCTAAAGGACTTAATGTATTCACTGGGAAAAAATTAAACAAAACAGTCAAAAGCAAACTGAAGCTGGGATCAGTAGAGGGAACTTGTATGCATGTAAATGAAGTACGAAACTTATAAATAGGAGCAGAAGCATCACACTTTTGTGGAAAAAGGATGTATTTCAAAAGTCCTTTGAAAAAAAATACACAATTAAAGATGGTTTTCTATGCCCTATTCCTGCTTGTGAATTCTAGAAATTTGGCTGCAAGAGGACAACTCTTTATTGATCCACTCAACCCACAGATTTTGCTCCAGCGTTGATACTTTTGTTAATCCTTAATATTGCACTTATCTGTTAGTGATAACACTGAATGATTCAGGTAGCAGCCTGCATTGTAAATCATTGTTTAGACTTAAGAATTATAAATTTCTTCCTCTCCACCCATTTTCTAAATACACATCATTTAATCAACAGACCATTGGCAGAAGGTTCCCAGAATGCCTGACAAATACACAGGCCTAAATGAATTAATTTGTGAAAAGCCAAAACGATTTTGTATGCTGACTGCCAAAGACAAATGACCAACTAGAGCATCTAACACCACCACCAAAAACAGGAGTGTCAATAATTTTAAAGGGGTCAATGGGTCACAGCAGCCACTTTGCTGATTAAAAGCGACTCTAAAACCTTTCTCAATTTTTGTCTCTAGCTGGAGTTGGAATTTTATCACTGATTGGCCTCTAAATCATTTTGAGGCACTAAGGAGAAATTACAAAATGTTAGTTAAAAAAATATTTTCCTTAAAATGGACTTTGTTAGATTGCTCAAAGTCACACTTTGTAAATCCTGTTTAGGACTGATGAGGATTTACAGGCTGAGGTTACCGAATACTGTAATGCTGTGCTATAACCAGGCAAGGGGGTGTTATGAATTTGCAGCGTCAGCGTGGTTAGAACCAGTGGAAATAGCAGGTTTTAAGCAGGGCTTGGGATGACACCCTGATTGAAGGAGGGAGAATGAAGACTTCAGCTGAAGTTGCACTTACTGAGTAAGTACTCAGCTTTTCCCTAGGTGTTTACACATGTTGGCCAAGCTGGGAGGGCCTGTTAGCGATTAGGATGGTAATTAAAGCCTCCTTAACCACAGGTAGGGGATGTTAAATCAGGACAGCAGTGTTGATGTCCTGTTAGAGAAATAAATTAAAATGACTCAGCATCCATTGTGGATAACGCCCTTCTAATAATTAGAGCTAACTTTCATTGTGTACTTGCAGAGTATTTTACATTTATCTTTGTCATATATAAGCCCGATGAAACAAATGATATTCTTCTCCTTTTACAGATGAGGAAACTAAGAGACAGAGAAGGCAAGAGACCTTCCCAAGGTCGCATAGCTGGGTCCTGATTTGAACCCAGAAGGCTGACTCGAAAAGCTATGCAATCTCCCAAACACTCATGTTTTTAAAATTTTTATATGTGTGTGTGTGTATCACACACATATTACATCATCGTTTATTCTTGCACAATGTTTTATTTCTCCTCTCAGGTGTAATCCCCGTACAATCCTCACCACCAAGTCACCCGTGCACAATCACAATAGTCTCTTGTGCTCTTCCAGCCTTTGCTTTAATCCCTCTCCCTGCCCCTCCCCTGCTGAATATCTCTGATTTATAACTGCCTGATAGTTTTCTCTCTATTTTTCCCCAACCCCTTTTTTTGATTCCCCTACATTCATTCCTCCTATAAGTGAAACCATCCAATATTTTTCTTTTTCCTTCTGACTTATTTCACTGAGAACTTCATTCCTTAAGGATACAGACACCAATAAATACAAACACTTCCTTGCAGAGCGCTCTGGAAGATGACATGCTAATAAAAGCTCTGGCACATCCAAATATAAAGGGGAGGGGGAGAATGATGATGATAAACAGCATATAGTCAAAAGGAAGGTTAACAAGTCCTTTCTCTCTATCAGAATTTAAATGAGGTCCATTTTAAAATTTAATTTCAAGGGGGAAGTGACCATCAGAAGCAAGCCTGTTATGAGTTTTTCAAATCATGTCAAACACAGGGGTTCATTTGTCAAGATTCATGGTTTGTTATTTAATAACAGGAAAATGAACTGGCTTGTAGATCATCCTAAACAGCTGATTCATTTAGTGTGCTTTGTTAATATGTCTCATTTTTCAAGTTTGAAAACTGCATCAACAGGGTACTCCTACATTCTTGTAAAATGCTTCGTTTGAGTATGTGGGTTTGGAGG